TGCTCGACAACGTGTGACGCAAAATGCCTGCCGACCGCAAACAAGAATACCTCCGAGCCCTGCCCGAAGCGAACGCAGCGTGACAACTTGTCGCGGCCGCAACTGATGGCAGCCATCCGCTGGACATCAAAGCATGGGCCTACTCTGATACGCGGCGCGAGCGGCGCATGGCCCCGCCTCGCACGCGCGCCAATGATCTGCAGCATTTCTCCCGCCCACCCCCACGCCCCGCGCGCCTCCACATGGCTCCGAATGCAAGCAGGAGCTCACGCGTAGTCTACGCGCGACGTGTGCTCGCCCAGTCCATGACAAAAAGACGGGCCAGTCTCATCAAGTGAATGCAATGGCGGCAACTAATGGTGGTCTAGCGATGATATCAAAACATATTCCATGATATGTTTCGTCATCTGCCTCTCTCACTCCCACATGCGGTTCCGACTCGGCAGAGCCGATTCTGGCGTTGGCATCCAGCATGAGCACAGGCACCGTTCTGGCCAGGAGAACATCGAGAAACTGTGAACGGCCCGGCCAAAATATTGACATCGCCTCTCCTGCGCCCCCCTATCCTTCTGCGCCCCGTGCGGCTCAGCGCGCGCGTAGCCGACCACGATGGTGAAACCCATCATGCGGTTCTTACATATGACGGCCCTTGTTCCCTCCCACCTAGGCGGAGAAACATATTCCGCATCATATGACTCTGCGCCTGCGTATCATGCAACAGCAATCGCAGTCCAGTAGATCCCCCGGAAGTCCCCGAAGACCTCGGCCACCTGAATATACAAACTCTGCCAGTTGTATATTGCTGACGCACAAGATCGCGTCTGGCCGGGATCGGTGCCCCCTGCAAGCCGACCACCGGGCAAGAACGTAGCTGCTGACATATATCATCCCCCCTCTCCATTTGACGCAACGACAAGACACTGTAACTGCGCAGTCGAAGACTATGCATCTCGGTCGCGGCCGCCCGAGCGGAAACACCTCGGGGAGGCGTCGGAAACGCGGCAGTGGTTCTTCGGGGACAGCTGGTTGCCCCCGCCTGCAATCCCTCGGGCCGGGGGGGGGGCTAGGAGGAGGAGGAGGAGGAGGAGGAGGGGGAGGAGGAGGAGGAGGAGGAGGAGGAGGAGGAGGGGGAGGGCGAGGGCGAGGAGGAGGAGGAGGCAAGGCAAGGCAAGGCAAGGCAAGGCAACGCAAGGCAGGGCAATGCAAGGCAAGGCAACTCTGGGGTGCTATCACATGCGCCTACACACATAAGATTGAAGAAACAAAACTAGAACCTGAGTGGCATCCGTGGTGCAGCTTCCCACATCGGTCGGCGCTGCAGGCGGAACTCACTCGGGCCTCAACCCGCCCTGACACTGGGAAAATCCAGTGAGGGGGGTGATGGCACCGCCATTCCCTCGCAGTTAAACTTTACTGGCATTCGACCTAGGACGTTTTGATATATACTGCTATCGGACCTTGGGCACAAAAAAAACTTATCTCGGCTCCTGAAACACCCCTGAGGAAACCACCCTCAGAGAATGAGAAGTCTTGGGGGGTGGGAGAGGAGGAGGAGCAAGCATCAGCAGTCGCAGCGTTCGAGGACGAGGAAGGAGGGGGAAGAGCGCTCCGCGCTCGACTAGGGCTCTGAAGCGAGACGAGGTCCTGAAGACCGCAGGCACAACTATGCACCATTCTCTGGGCGTGCTGGCCCCCGCAGGGGCAAGAAGGAAGCGGGGGCCTTCGCCTCCCGCGCTCACTGATGCTTGACCTCCCCAGCCAGTCCCCACTCGACTGGCTGTCTCCTCATTGCTCGATCGGCTCGCGCCAATCCCCACACAACTGGCAGCACTCACAGCGAGCTGCTCCAGCATCTTCGGCGCGTCTCTCTCCAGGGCTCCCCGTGGTGCTGGCCCGTGCTTCCTCTGGCCCACTTTGTTGGAGTACGCAATCAGGGCCGCCTCCAGCTCGCCGTACCGATGGTCCACTCCGAAGGTCAATCGTAGCTTCTCCCCCCTCGCCTCTTGCTTGCGTGTCGCGCGCACACGATAGTGTCGTACTTGGTCGGCCAGCTCGATCACCTGCACCTTCAGCGCCACCTCGCCCCAGCACTTCTCCATGATCTGTTTCACGCTGGGGTCCGCCTGCGGGTCCGTGCCCACATCCTTGAGGAGAGCCGTCCATACATGCGCGAACGGCGGCCCCAGCGTCTCCGTCTCGGTGCCCGTCTCCTTCCTCTTTTGGATCTCCTGATGGTAGAGCACCCCTGCCTGCTTCGCCGCCGCCACCGCGACCTGTTCGGCCGCGACCAGGTAGGTGACGAACACCACTCCACATACGTCTCGTAGTTCTGCCGCGCTGGACAGGCTCAGCTTCGTGAGAACAGTGACGAGGTTCTTGAGCAAATTGCCACCCTTTGCTTTTGCCTGCTCGGCCAAAGAGGAGAAGGAGGAGGAGGAGGACGAGGAGGGGGGCCTCTTCCGAACCACTACTTGTGTGTTTGCTGGCGTTTGCGAATCGACACCTTGCGAGTTGCGGAACGCGCTGGGTGAGGGAAAGCGAGGGGAGTTCCGAGAAAACAGCGGGCGTCCCAGAAGCTCCTCCCCGGCTTCTGAGAAGTTCTCTCAGAAGATTCGGGCCCCTTCGGCCCCTCTAAAAGGGCCCGTGCCTTGGAAAAGGCGAAAGATGCAGCAAGAAGCAGCAACGACATACGCTTTCGTCGTGGGTCCGCGGATCTCTCTGGTCGGGCGGATGTCTTTCGCCGCGCGGGGTGAAACACCAACGCCCACGTCATTGCGACAACAGCCTGCCACATACACCATGCCAAGGCCTAGGATACCACTGCACAAACACAGTGATGGTTGCCCCTGGACACCTCGTCCATCCCCTACCGCTGCTTCCGTGAATGTCTGAAAAAACAGCATGAGCAAAAACATGCGAAGTCCCCCCCTCACCGAACCCCCTGCGCCGTCGGCGCGCTCCGCGCGCTGTGCAAGGGGTGCGTGGGAGAGGAAGGGGGTCCAGCGCAAGATCAAGAAATCCACGCGGACCCTCGACGAAAATTGATCTGATCTGGTGGAGCGATTTCTACATATCCACCACTTTAGGAGCCGGCATACCAGGACCCTGGGAGGCAGTGGAAGTCTAAGGTGAAGTCAATCAATAACTCCAAGCCTCAAAAAAAGAAAGAGGAACGGGGGAGGACGGAGGGGGTGGTGAGGCGGCTCCCCACTCCTGCCCAATGCTCAGGATCAACACCACCTCCGCTATGCTCCTGATGTCTCAGGCCCGCCCCCTGAAAGAGGAGGAAGGGGAGGACGAGGCTCGAGGAGGATCTGCTCCTCCTCCCAAGACCTGGTACGTCGTGTTGTTTGTTCAAAACTTTGAGCCCAAGAGCGATTGACCTTCTCGCATCGCTATTTGTTCCGCAACTGGAATAGGTCGTTCATATAATGTGTCAACGGGTCAGAAACGGGGCTCTATGGATGTCCACCCTTAGGAACAAATTATCACATCGCTTCTTTTGCCACGGAGGAAGTCGAGGGCTAGGATCCCAAAGGCCCCGAAAGGTCCCCATAGGCCCCCAGAAGCCGTGCGAGGCGGAATCGACCCCCGACCTGCCAGCAGGTCGAAGCCCTAGCCTAGAAAGCGCCCGCCAGCGCGACGCCCCTGGTGGGCAATCCATGTTTTAGTTATGCCCCTTGTGACGCTGGATGCCCCCCAAGGGTACAGAGTGGGAGCAAGGATCATGATCTGGCCGGCCTCTGGAGGCACAATCATGCCACTCATGAAAAGAACGGGTCAACGATCCCAAGGCTTTCCCCCGAGTCTTACTTCTCATCCCGAATACGGTTCATGTTCCGTCCTTGGGCCCGTGGAGACCCTAAGGAAGTCGTCTTACGCGAGATGGCATGACGACCTTACGTTGTGGCTTGCGCAAGCCGCCAGCACGGCACGCTGCAACGGAAACGAAGGCGGGCGCTTACGCGCGGCATTATGCGGGCAGCTTGCGCGCGAATGCCCACGCAATCGAACCCGTGCTTCCGCGCCGAACAACTTGGAAACTAGGGCGGCTACGCGGGACTTTGCGTGGGCATATCGCGCGCGAACGTCCGCGCCATCGAACCCGTTTTTTCTGCGTCGATCGAATGGCAGCTAAGCATACGGCGTACTCTCCCGAGATCCGCGCGGATGGAACGGGTCGGCTCCGGACCCCCCCTCGCGCGCAGTGGGCGCCGCCGAGGGGGTGGCGGGGAGCGGCAGCAGGCAGAGAGACCCAGCGTCAGCCCAAGCAGTCCATGGGGGGACACCTGCCAGTCGACGCCTCCGCTGCTCTTCTGTCATCGATGGACGAGGTACGCAGGGGCACCTTTACACGCAGACTGCATCTCTGCACCGCCGCTGCGCGTGGCCAGGGCCATCCGGGCCCCTGGCATGGTGTGTACCGCAAGTTCGTGTCGCGACGATGTGGGAATCTGCTTCTGACCCCGTGCGTAGACTGCAACCCAGAACAATCGCGGACCTCCGACAGTGTATATCGCTCGATGTCGGCCGACTCCAGGCGCCGAGTGGCGTTCGGCGCTTGAAGGCGCTGCCCGTGCTTGGGGAAGCCGAAGAGACCGTTGTCGCTACGCCATGGGCCTCACCTGGACTAGAATGCGTTCTGACAAGGATCCCGAAGCGAAGCCAGCGATAGCGACGAGGGCTCCCGAGGACGAGCAGCGGCATCGGTAAATATCCCTCCTCGTGTCGTCGTCGCGGTCGCCCTCTCGGTTGAAGCGTCGATCGCCGACCAGCGAAGCTCCGCCAAAGAGGCAGGGGGCGCCCTCCCCCCCTTGGGGTGGACAGAACTCTCTGTTTTGGCGCGCCAGCCAAACCCTGCCTGCGGGGGCGGGCCCAGAGAAACTGCGGCCGCACCACCCCCCTCGAGAAGCCGAGACGGGGCCAATTGGCGGATCCGCGAATCGGCGTGGAGTCCCCGATCCCCCAGCGCAAAGCGGCGTTGGTGCGCGCGCGCGCGCCTGCGGCGGGCATCGCTGCTGCCGCAGGAAAAACCTACGCCGCGGGGGTCCTGGGGGCAGTGCGCGCGTTGGGCTACGCGGGAGGCAGCCGTGCATCACCACGGTGCCTGGCCAGGGCCATCCCGGGGCCTGGCACGGCGTAAGCGCCCTCCTGGCTGAGGCCCGGGGAAGCCATACGTCGTCCTAGGGCACAGGATGGCACTTGCCAGGCAGAGCCATGGGGTAGAGGTACCTTCTGCGGATGAGGTTGCATTGGAGCAGCAGTTCCACATCCAGTAGCGTGCGCTTCCTTAGCAGCTAGTCTGGCCCAGTGAAGCCCCAGAACCGAAGAAGCGCTTGCCTAATACAAGACCAACTGTGTCGTCGTGTTGTCATCGTCCGTCTTTGTTTCTCCATTTGCTCTTTACCAACAGCGATGCAGTCACACGAGCCCACATCGCCAGAGAGTTCTCAGGGTGACCCCCCAAACGAGAAGGGAGAAGGGAGGAGCGAGGATCGACAGGCGAGGTGTTATCACTCCTGTGTCTGCTGAGACACCTGCAAGGGGCCTTCGGAGACCCCCAGAGACCCCTGGAGGAGGAAGGTGTGAGGATAATACCGCTCCTCATCTTCACCCCACCGTCCTCGTCCTCTGCCTCCTACCCTCGGGTCGGACGGAAAAGGGGGATAACAGAGGTGCAGTCATCCTGCTACCAGGAATACGAGTCGAAGTGGCTTCTCTTGCCATGGCGAGCTTCGGCGACTCCAAAAAACAAAGCCCCTCCAGAATACAAAAGAGTTACGATCTCAGCGTCCCGACTGTAGCGAACCAACTAACGGCGCAACTAGCTCTTCCCAGCGTCACTCGCCGCCGGAGGCGGCCGTGTACCGCGGCAAGGGCCTGGCGGCAGAGCCGAAACTATCTTCATTCAGCAAATGTCATACCCCCCTTTCCTGATTTCGGCGGCGAGCCCTGGGGGGGAGTGAGAAGGGGCGGGCCTTCTCAGAAGGCTCGGAAGTTCCCTGGCCTTCCGAGAAGGCTCGGAAGTTCCCTGGCCTTCTGAGAATACACAGAAACGCTTCTCAGAAGGCCATATAGCTTCTGAGAAGCACTGCTGCCTTCTGAGAAGGCCTCCTCCTTCTCACTTCCCCCCCCCCCCTGCCGTCGCTCGAACGTCCATTCCGTGTGCATCTGTCGGGTTCGTGCCGATATATTTCGCGAGATGCCCCAGCCTGTTCCTCGATGGTTCTCGCCGATGAGAAAAATCGCGCACGTCCGAGCGATGCCGATGCCAAGCCCCTCCGAGAGATGCCAAGCCCCTCGCTCGCCGCCGACAATTCCCCCCTTTCGTCCGATCCGAACCAGCCAGGCCCATGGTGAGGGCCCGGCGCCGATCCAGAACATCCAGGCGAACCTCCGGAATCTCCTCTTAGTGCAGCGATTTGGAGGCCTAGAGATAGGCACCAACACCAACACAGGGGGTTGCCCCCACACGGGGGAAGATGATCCTCGATTTCGGTGTTGGTGGTCAAATTTCGGCCACCCTGGAAGCCAGAATATTACCACCATCACCGAGACTGGGATCTTTTTCCCTCTGCGGAGGCACGCCGCCGATATTGGTGTCGGTGTCAACCTCTAGGCCTGCGAGAGTTCTTTTTCGATGACCTGGAGACAGCCCCTCCCGATATCTGGCGTTATGCACCAAAACACTGTCGCAAAGAAGGACATGGAGACCACATCGCTCGGCCTCACAATTCCGCGCGGTCTCTCAGGACGGAGCTGATCCGTGAATGAGGGCCCCCCTGGGACCAGGAAAAGACCGAGCACGAATACTGCGTCGTGTGATCGCTACGCCTGGATGCGAGGGTCCCCCTCCTCATCTAGACTAAGCAACATCTGCACATAATTAACATCCGGAGGTCCGCGCGAATTTCTTGGATGGCGCTGGACCCCCCCTCCCTGGCACGCGGAGCAGGCCAACGGCGGCGCCGGAACCGCCCCAAGGGGGGCCCAACACGGACCCGAGAAAAATCTGGACGGAACTCCAAAAGATTATGGTTATGCAGATTTGTCTTCTTCGATGGATGCTAGGGTCCTCCTCCTCCTCCTCCTCCTCCTCCTCCTCCTCCTCCTCCTCCTCTCCTCCACATCCTCTCCTCGGTCGTTGAATGCCAGGCCTCTCCCACGGAGTCCTGACTTGCTTCGCCTGTCCATCAGAACGGGGCCCGCGTTCTCTCCCCGCCGCACGGCGCGTCGCCCCGTGCCCTCTTTCCACCTGCCGCCGCCGGCCCCAACCCACAATTGCAGCAACTTCGCGTCGCGGCTTCGGCACAAACTGTTCTCGTATACACCGCGTGAGTCGCTCGAACTCGCACGATCTGCGCTCTCCGATAGCGCAAGTCGTTCGATACCGTAGGCGCCCGCCGCTTTGGGGCCGCTGGGGGGCGTTCAACCCTGAACGCAGCCTTTGAAATCCTCTGCACATCACATGCCTTCACTAATGCATTTCGAGCAGGGTCAGAGGGGGGGCCCTTCTCTGTTTATGACGCTGCGCTGCCTGCTGCACGTTCCCAGCTGCCTTGCCGCTCGCTGCTGGCAGGGCCCCGGCGGGCGCGTTCCTGAGTAGTCCCAGCCCGAATTCCCATTCGGCACACCCACGGCCCCACCCTAGGGGAGATCGCATTCGAATGACTTGCGATGCCGCCGTTACCTGGGCCGCCGCCTCCCCCTGGTCACGCAAGACCCGCCACGAGCCCGCGAGCACAACGGGCCTGGAGCACCGCTGTGACCGTTTACCTTGCCACAGGCTTGTGTCACCACTGTGTCAAGGCTGGGAGAGAGAAAATCGGAGTGGCCATGCTGCCTGCTCGAGTATACGCTCCAGCCGAACCCAAAACATCCCCTAGTTCGGATACAACATAATAGTGCAAGGCCCTTGGCAATTCCATGCGGCAGCAAGTGCGACGGCATCATGCCAAACAACTCTGCTATCTCAGGTTACATCCGAAGCTGGGGCGCAAAAGCAGACTTGATGAACCATGGCGAGCTGTTGGCCCCGATTGAACCGCGCGATGCTTCCGGGGGCCTCGCGAGTCCCCCAGAAGTCGACGTAATCGTCAGTGCATTCGTCTTCCTTCTGCCTCCTCATCCTCCACCCTCGTCCCCTCCCTCCAGTATCCGTATTCATGGACCGTCTCCTGCTGAAGCCCCATGCAGAGAGCCCCCCCCTTTGCATTGGGTTGGGTTCTGCGCCTGGGCACTTCAGCGCTGTGCCTTTCCCCCAGGCCGCCACTCCTTGCAATGATGTTTGTAATGCAGGGCCCAACGTGGCGTGGCAAGACTCTTGGGTCGTGTGGGGCCATGGGAGGTCGCCTGGGCCGCTGGGTCCGTTTTGAGCTGATCCAGACGTGGATGTCGCTTTCTTTGTATATTCGGAATGCGGCGCGATGAAGCGACCCCAAACCTACCCCAGCCGAAGTCCGACGCCGAACGGAACGGAACGGACGCCGAAGTCCGCGCCCGCATGCCTCGACACGCAGCCGCGCGCCTTGAAGGCGACGGCGGGGTCGCCGCAACGCTGGAAAATGCCGCAGCCTGCTCTCAGTCCTTGATCAACGGCGATCGTGTTTCATATGGGTTGTCCCACATGATTACTTCAATCATTGCGCGGGGGCGTGAGTCGCCGCACGGAGTTCCGTGGAAATTGAAATCCACCTGAAGTCAACACGTGGGAAATTCATCCGCGGCGCCTTCGGGTCGCACAGCCAAAACTGTCCCGAACATCCTTAAGTCTGTATCTAAATTGTTCAGTTAACACCGGTTCTTCGTTATCGCTGTCACCGATATGCCCATCAAGGGGTCCCAAATGAGCCACACAAGAGCTAACACCACCATCATTGCGTTTTCTGTCTCAGAGCGTTTCTGCCCCGTGCCTGATTGCATTGACGTAAAAATCAACAGGTCGATTCGGTCCATCTTGTTTAAATAGATCACCTGTGCTAGCGAGTGACTGTGATAGGATGCGGAAACTTCATGCTATTACTTTGAGGGGCTTCTTCTTGAAAGAAAGGAACCTTCTAGTAAAGTAATGTTGCTTTGCTGCGTGACATCCGCGGCGCCGCGTCCGAAGTGCCGGGCCACGCCCTGCGCTCGCGACCAGAATCTCCTGTCAAGGAGCATATACAACTCGCTGAAAACAAACATGTCGGAGGATCGCCGGGACCCGGTGCAACGCAACCCTGATTACTCGAACAAATGCATCGCGGGGTGAATTGGCAGGGAGCACAAGAACCCCCCTTTCCCCCGACCTGGCCCCGGCCTCGCACCCCCAGAGCTGCACTAAGGCAGACCTCGACCTTACTAAAGCGAAGAAGAGGCTGTACTTAAAGCGAGGAAGGGGCTGTACTAAAGCGAAACAGCGGCTTTACTTCAGCGAGAAAACGACTTCAGTAAAGGCGCGCCGCTCAATACATTCTAAGTTTAACTCAAGCAAACAGAGAGCTTAGTAAAGCGGAGAACCGGCTGGGGCAAAGCTGCGCGCAGAAATTTCGCTCCTCCCATAAGCTCTTTCGCGGGACTCCAGGAATGAGGGCGGGGCGCAAGTTCGCCCGTGGGCCTGGGCCCTGTCGCCGCCGTCGCCGCGACGTTCGTCGTCGCCGCCGTCCCCGTTGCCGCCGTCGTCACCGCGGTCGGCGCCGACGCCGCAAACAGTGTAACCTAAGCAAATGCTGATCTTTGCTGAGCGATTTGCTATTCAATCGATTCCAATTGTGCTAGCATGCGTTCAGCCATGTCCCGCCTATGTCGACGACGTCGAATGTCAATCCAGAACTGCTCGCGAGCAGCACTCCTCTGCAGCTTCCAATCAGCTGCCAATCGCTGAGGTGACGTTGCGGCAAAGGCCACTCTGCAAATTCACGTGGGGCCTACTTGCTCTTGCCCTGTTTGAGCCTTGAGCCAAAATGGCTACAGAGAGGAGAGAGGAGGCACCTGCAGGCCGGCGGCGACAACGACGGCAACGGCGACGACACCGACGCCCTCTATGGTAGGGGACAACAAACACTGATATGAACATAAATCTCAGGCGTCTACGCGGATTCCTCGGATCGGCGGCGGACCGCCATGGGGGCTCCATCGCCCATCCGAGGATTCCGCGCGGACCTCAGAGTTTTGATGCTTATGTCATTGCTTGTTTCCTTCTATGGGCCGCTGCCCGACGCCGCCGAGGGGCGACGGGCGGCGGCCGCAGGCGGTGGCGGCCACGCCGGGCTGCAGGGCGGCGGCCGGTCGCGGCCGTCCGGTCTCCACGGCGCCGGGCAGCAGCGGGCGCGTAGGGCGGCGGCGCCCGCCGCGCCATGGACCACCCCTCGCTGTCTTGTGGTCTGGGCCGAGGGCGCGCGGCGGCGGGAGGCGGCGCGCAGGCGCTGCGCGCGCGAGGCCTGCGAAGCACCACGCGGTGCAGCTGCCGTCCTTCTCCTCCTCGTCCCCGTCACTCCTCCTCCTCCTCCTCCTCGTCCCTCTCACTCCGCCTCCTCCTCCTCCTCCTCCTCCTCCTCGTCCCCCTCACTCCTCCTCCTCCTCCTCCTCCTCCTCCTCCTCCTCCTCCTCCTCCTCCTCCTCCTCCTCGTCCTCCTCGTCCTCGTCCTCGTCTTCGTCCTCCTCCCCCCTCCACCCTCCCCCCTCCCCCCTCCCCCCCCCCTCCCTCTCCCCTCTCCTCTCCTCCTCCTCCTCCTCCTCCTCCTCCTGCTCCTCCTCCTCCTCCTCCTCCTCCCCTCCTCCTCTTCTCCCCTCCTTATCCCCCTCCCCATCCTTCCTCCCCTTTCCCCCCCCTCCCCCCTCCCCCTCCCCCCCCCCCTCCCCCCTCCACAATTACTTAATATGAATACTACTTTCCCTCTTCCCCTGATGACGGCCTGGGAGTGTCCGACCCCCCCCCCCGCGTACTGTGTTTTTACACACAGGTTTCCCCGGAGTTGGGTTTTCGCCTGCATTTGTTTCAAAATGCTGCTCTCGCTGAGGCGCCGGCCTCATTTTCGGGCCCCGCTCGTTCCGAATCGTGCTCCCGCTGCAACGCTGGCTTCATTTCCGTGCTTCCGCTCGTTCCGAATCGTGCTCCCGCTGCAGCGCTGGCTTATTTCCGCGCTTCCGCTCGTTTCGACTCGTGCTCCCGCGGCAGCGCTGGCGTCATTTCCCGTGCCATGCCACGGCATGCAATGCAATGCTAGGTTGATACTACGCTTTGCGGTGCTCGTCTACGCCATGCCATGCCGTGCTCTACAATGCATCGCGCACCCTTTCGGGATCATTGCCCTGTTTGACATCCGACTGTGCGAGTAGAGAGGGGATCTGCGCCATGGTAAGGGATGGGAGGGTGGGGTAGGATGTCAGATATGACGCGAGCGCACCTAGGTTGCCCCTCCCCCCCCCCCTCCCCTCCTTTTCCTCCTCCTCCTCCTCCTCCTCTTCCTTCTCCTCCTCCTCCTCCTGCTCCTCCTCCTCCTCGTCCTCCTCCTCGTCGGTCGTCTACGCAGAGCCACTGGCACTTGCGCCCACGCACACTAAGACCCACTCATCAGACTCATACTTACATACCGCTCACACTCAGAGAAACCACGCGCACGCAGACTCATCCATACTCGTACACATTCAGCCATGCACACATTTCCAAGCATGGCATCTGGACCACCCAATGTGGGAGCCACCCAAGGGTATGACACGGGCCTCTTCGCGCCTAGATAGTGAAGATGCCTCGAGCGAAACGCCCGTGCACGGCTGCGAACACGTCTCTTTTCAGAAACCCATGACCACCACGATGTAGGAGGCGTGGCACTTGGACCACCCATAGGGAGCCGACACAGCGCTATGACACAGGCCCTTTTGCGTCCAAAGTGTGAAGATGTATTAAGCAGAACGCCCGTTCGCGACTGTGGGCGCGTCTCTGTTGAGATTCCTATGAGCACCGAGATGCGGCAGGCATGGCGTGGGCACCACCCAATACGGAGCTGCCATAGGGTATGACATGAGCCTGGTCGCGTCCACATTGTGGGCATGTCTCGAGCAGAACGCGCGCTCGAGGCTGCGGACGCGTCCTTGTCTACCTCCGCGATGTAGCAGGTATGACGTGTCAACTACCCAATGGGGAGCCACCAGGGAATCTTTCACTGGCCAATTCACGTCCAGATTGCGGGGGGTCTTGAGCGAAATGCCTGTGCGCGGCTGTGGACGCGTGTCTTTTGAGAGCCCCATGGTCACAGCGATGTAGCAAGATTAGCTTAGCAAACGCGGAGTTTGGACCACCCACTGGGGAGCTGCCACGGGGATATGATACGGGCCCGCACGCGCCCTAAATTGTGGGAACGTCTGCAGAGAAACGCGCGTTCGCGGCTGTTGACGTGTCTCTTTTCAGAGCCATAACTGTGTTCAGCGCGATGTAGCAAGCGTGGCATTCGGAACACACGCAAAGGAGCCGCTAAGAGGATAGGGCAAGGGCATGTTCACGTCGAGATTGCGGGGATGTCCTCAGCGAAACGCCCGTTCGCGGATGTGGACGCAGAGCCAGAACTATGATACTGTGATGTCCGCGATGTAGCATGCATGGCATTTTGACGAAGCCAAGGAACCGCCAGGGGGGATAACACGGGCTCGTTCGCCTAGATCGCGGGGATGTGAGAAACTAATCGCCCGTTCGCGTTTGTGCACGAAGCTTTGTTTCAGAGCCCTGTGATCACCGCGATCGAGAAACGATTACACTTGAACCACTCACTGGGGAACCGCCACGGGGATGGCACGGACCCGTTCACACCAAGATCTGCGCGACCTCTCAACTATAATGGCCGTTTGTGGCCAGGAGGTGTCTCCTTTCATAGCCTCATGATCTTCGCGATGTAGCAGGCACAGATGACTCGAGCTTCGCCTTGTGGATGCCCAGGCACTCACACAAGAACGTGCCAGAACATTGAGACGCACAAATGGATATCTCCGCACCGGACAAATTTGGAAGCCGAGCCCGGCTTCATTAGCAAACACAAGCAAATATCAGCATGAGGGGGCCGAACTGTCATTCATAGTGTCTGGCTGCATGGCTGAATGTTGTTGCTGCGTTGCGTTGTTGTTGACGTCGTCCCCCCTTCGACCTGGCCTGCGACCCGGCCTGCGACCCAGCCTGCGACCCACCAGCGACCCACCCTCGACCAACCCGCGACCCACTCGCGACCCACCCGCGACCGACTTCGCGACCTACCCACGGCCAACCCGCGACCCCCCCGCGACCCCCCCACGACCCATCCCGCGACCCACATCGCAAACCACCCGCGACTCACCCGCGACCCCGCCCCGAGACCCACCCACTACCCACCCGCGACCCGCCCGCGAACCACCCGCGACCCATTCACATTGCTTATACAAAAGAAACGGCGCCTGCGGCGGGCTCTTTGTGAAATGTCTGAAAATTAGGCACCTGCGGTGGGCCTCTTCAGAGTCTCGCGGACTACCGACGTCCCCGCCGCCCCCTCACTCTTGTCCGCAACTGCGGGGTGCTATATGTTTTGGAATCGAACTCTCGGGATTAAGGGCGAGCTCTGCGAGCCAGGGACTTATCCACAACACACCGCCTGGGCTGGAGGTGGGCTGGAGGTGGAATGATCCGTATCCACCGCCTGGGCTGGAGGTGGGGATAAATATGGGCAATTCCAGAAACCCTGAGCCCAAAAACGTTTGCATCTCCTGGAAACGCATCGTGTACTTCCGCCGCCTTCCGCCGAGCTTCCGCCGGCTTCCGCCCGCGGAGGCGGCCTCGTTGTACTTCCGCCGAGCTTCAGCCGCCTCCAGCCGAGGAAGAGACGACAACTCCTCCGATCCTCGAAGGCAAAACCATGTTTGGAATCTCCCATATGGCCTACCAAGGCACGACACTATCCACCGCCTGCCGGTGTCCCCGAAGACCGATTTCACAGCTGGTGCTCATGGATACATTCCCGCCTCGGAGGCTCCCTCCGAGCAGCGGCAAAGCCACCGTGCTGCCAAAAGGAGCGCGCAAAAAGGGAAGAAGGTGCCTTTCTGGCTCGGCTTCGAATCTGCCCACGACCTGGATCCTGCACGGCCCGAAAACCAGAGCCCCATCCTGCGCCTGAAGAGATCCTCATTCCAACGTTTTGACTGCACTGGAAAAAGAAAAAACTGCATCTGCGCTGGACTCCCCTCCCTGCCGTGCAGAGCGCGCCAGGGGTAGCGCCGCAGGCGCCGCTAGGGGGGGGTCCAACGCAGAGGCAAGAAATCCGCGCGGAGCGCCGAAAGTTTATGCTTATGCAGTGATCTCCTTTTCCAAGCGTCTTGACTGCACTGCTGCCTCCTCTGAGGGCGGCCCGCATCCTGGGGGAAGTAAAACTTCAGCACGTCCTGAAGCTCACTCTTCGCGCGCCTCACCTCGGCCGGCGGCCCCAGGGTCTCCCGGAGGAGTGGTGGTGGACATGTGGCGGGGCCAAGCGACCAAAGAGAGGCGGGGGAGGGGAGGGGGGGATCGTCCCGCAGGGGAGGGGAGGGAGGATGGAGGGCGGGGAGGGGGAACGGTGGAAGGGTTGATTCGGCCCTCCTCCTCCTCACCCCTCCTCCCCGTTCTCCCCCATCCTTTCCCCCCCCTCCTCCGCTGCTTCTTTTTGACGTTGCGCGGACTTTCTGCAACAGGTCCCCCCCTGCTTCCTCCTCCTCCTCCTCCTCCTCCTCCTCCTCCTCCTCCTCCCCCTCCGCCCCCCCACCCCCCTCCCCAAGAACTCCTCCCCTCTAGACGGCGCAGGGGCAGAGGGACGATGGGGAGGGAGGTCGAGGGAGACGGAACAAGAGATGGAGAAGTGAGGAGGCGGGGGGGGGCTGAGGAGGGGAGGGTGGCGGAGGCGAAGGTGGGGAGGGCGGGGAGGGGAGGGGTGGAAAGATGTGGAAAGGAAAGGTTGCAGGAGGACAAGACAAGGGGGGAGGGGGGGAGAGATGGGGGTGGGGGAGAGGGAGTCTCATGTAGCTTTTTGCCTGCACTTCCTCGCCCTTGGCCTCTAAGGGAATGCTCCTGTCGTCGCCGTGGATGGATGTGCCTCGGACTGCCTGGTCAACGGAGAGGTCTGATCGTGTCGGACGAACGGGGGGGTGCAAGCGGGGGGTTAGCGCATCAGCTCATGCTCCTGGCGCATCCCCGCGCTGGAGGCGCCCACGTATCCAGGAAAACGCCAGGCAGTGGGGCCGAAACTAGCTGCGTGCAACGGATTTCGCACCCTCCCCACTTTCGTCCGACTCGAGGGAAGGAAAGATGATCTCTGGATGCCCGCGGAGGTCCCCGGACGTCGGACGCCTCCCGAGGCCAGAGGTCGAGAGGCGCCAGAAAATGTAGACCCTGCTCCTCCTCCTCACGACCACAATCCACTTGAAATCGACTTCTGGCGGCATCCCACATCGACTTCTGACGGGGCCCAGGAGGAGCGAATGGAGGTGCTCGCGGGCCCAACGGGCCAGCGGCGTGCGAAGATCTCCAGAAACTGGTCCACAATATATTCCTGGACCGCGCGCGCAGGGCGGCCCGTGGGATTCCCTGGGCGAAACGTACCCTGCCGAGGTTCCGGCAGGCTCCCGGCCAAGTCTGCCCCAGGATGCCAGCACTCCGCGGGGCGGCTTTCCGCGCCCTCCGAGCGCGGCAAGAGGGCCTCGAGAGGCCCCCAGTGGGATGGTCCAAAAGGGCTCCAAGTCGCCGACCGATCGGTAACTCCGCGGGGCGGTTTTCCGCGCCCTCAGAGCGCTGCAAGAGGGCCTCAAGAGGCCCCTGGTGGGATGGTCCAAGAGGGCTCCGAGTCGCCGACCGATCGGTCCAAGACGCCCACGATCGCCTGCACGTGGCCGCAGACGCCTCGAAGGCACCTGCAGACGCCTCCAGGAAGCGTCTCCAGAGGGCCCCGGGACATACAAATCATTGAACCCCCCTTGGGTTTTTGACAAATGTTGGCGTTCTGACCTGTTTGGCTTCCCGACGCTCCAGGACAGACCAAGAGGCCCTCAACATCCCCCCCCGACGGTCCAAGAGGGCTTCAAGAAGGTCCCAAGACGGCCTAAGATGGCCCCGACATGCCTCCAAGGCAGCCCAAAATGGCCCCCAGGACTGCCCCAAGAGGGAGCCAAGACGGGGAACCCGAACAGACATTTCGAGCCCAGCCTCCAGAATCGATCCAATACAACCCAAGAGACCTCAACGAGGCCTCAAAGCAGCCCAAGAGGGCCTCAAGACAGTCCCAAACGGCCCAAGAGCCCTCCAAGACCGTCTCGGAAAGCATCCCAAAAGGCCCCCAAGAACTTCCAAGAAACTCCCGAGAATTCTGGACATCCCCAAAGGAGATCCCGGGCCCGAAGGCCCTCCCAGGAGATCCCCAAAGGCCCTCAAGAGCTCCCGAAGAGGCTCCACGAAGCCTCCAAGAAACTCCAAGAGACTCCCAAGCGGCTCTCAAGGCCTCTCAAGAAAGACTCCAAGAGCTCCCAAGAGGGTCACAACTACTATCTCCCGAGAAGCAGTCGAGTGCTCTCAGAAGAGACAGCAAGAAACATTCATGAGCTCTCCGAAATGCCCTGACAGACCCCCAACACACTCCTACTCCTCCTCTCCTCCTCGCGCTACAATACGGGCCGGTGGATGCACCTTTTGTTCTCCTGTTCGTCATTCTTGGATCCTCCCCCAACGGCCAGCGCCATTCCTCCCGTCCAACCAAACCTGGGGAAGCTGTGCTCCTTCGCTCGAGATGGGTGTCGAAACCAGCGGGTCCCCCATGGCCCACGGTGACAACGAAAGATAGATTTCCACAGCAAAAGTGGCAACAGATGTACAAGCTTGCAAGAACCGCTGCCTGTGATTGTTTGTTAGGCGGTCGAGTTGCGCCGAAGAGGGAAGCGTGTGAGAGGAGGTGCCCAGTTCATAGTAACTGTGGCTGGCGCTGACGCGGGATCGCGAGCGAGGATGAGAGCTCTTCACTAGCAGCAGAAACCAACAACCAAGATTCAACCACATAATCAACACCACACCTGTCTCATTATGCCTGCCGAACGCCTCTGTACCACCCCAGTAATCTGCCAGTGGCTTTGCGCTGTGCGCGTCTATCAATCCATAAGAAGCCCCAGCAAACCACTGTCGAAGGAATACCGCGTGCCTTGTGGCATCAGCTTCACCGAGTTCAAAAAGACAAAATCAAGTGGAAGCGAAGCGCGTGGTCACGCCGTCTTGGCCACCGGCTGCAACCAAAGCCACCTCTCCAAACCAAACAAAAAATCCCTTTGGCTTCAACCATAATGCACATTGTGCAAATGTCTCTGCCGTGAGGTTGAAAGCGACAGTGACTGCATCTTCCAGAGTGGCATACCCACGGATACGATGACGGTGGCTCTGTGATACAAATCCCGCACAGCTTCCCAATAGCGGATACCAATGGTATGTAACGATATCAAGAGTGTTGCCACCACCAGACTTCAGGAAGCTATGCGAAAACGACCATGTATCAGGACCCTCAAAAGGTGGATTCCCGAAGGAATCGAGGCCCAGCAGACGGCTATATGGGCTCAAATCGTCCAACATGTGCGACGCAGTGTCCTGAAGCCGTCCGCCAACTGCTGAACACTAACAGAAATATCTTGAAAGACTGAGAACCCTTAATGACTGAGTCAGAACGGCTTGAGCCGATTTGAAATGGCAACGGTAAAACCAGCCGTCGGACTTCATGCCCGTTCTTTCTGTCCCCACTTCGGACCCCGCGAAATCCCCAAACTGCGACGCCGCAAATCGGCACGCACCCTCCGTTCTGCACATGTTCCCCAATCAGTGCTTGCACATAGGGGTCCTCACTACAATAACCTATGCCATTGAATGGACCTGTCGAGGCTTCGCCACGGTGCCATCCGTGACCGCCCGCGACACCTCGCTGGCGCCCAGTGCGCGGAGAAGGTCTGTCGATGCTTCGCAACGTTGCGGCTCGCGCCCGCTCGTGGACGTCTCGCGGGCGTCCCGTGCGCTGGGTGGGTCCGTCGAGGATTCGCCTCGTTGCCGCGTGTGCGGCGTGCGGCGCACAGCTTGCACCAAAGAGCTTGCACCGCACAGATGTTACCACACAGCTTGAACACACGCACACACACAGCTCGCATCCCGTGGCTCTGCGCCGCATAGCTTACATGTTGCACCGCATTTCCCAATGTGCGGACATCTGGCGAAGCCGTGCCCGCGCGCCGCCGGCATCACGCCAGGGCGCGGGCGGCCGCCGCTGGCGGGCGGGTGCAGCCCCAAGCGGGCCGCCCTCTGCGTGGGCGGCCGTGCCGCCGGGCCTGCTCCAGCCCAGCCCGCGGTCCCCGCGCGCAGAGGGCGCTGCGAGCGGCGAAGGAGGAGGGTGCACCGCCCGTCGCGGACTCGTCGAGGGACATCGCCGCCAGCGCCTCCATGGCGTCGTCGTCGCCCTCGCTGGCGGCCTCCCGCAGCCGCTCGAACAGCTCGCTCGCGTCGGGGTCTTCCTGGCCCAGGGCGCGGAGCAGCCACTGGGCGCCCAACTGATTGCTGCACTCCACACCGCGGCCCTCGAAGTGCATGGCCGCCAGCCGGCCCTGAGCCTCCCCGCAGCCTTGCTCGGCGGCCCGCAGGTACCACGCGGCCGCGGCCGCATCATCCTGCGGCACGCCCTCGCCCGACTCCAGCAGCGCGCCGAGGTTCAACTGCGCACTCACGCCGCCGCCCTCTGCCGCACGCGTGAACCATGCGGCCGCGGCGGACGGGTCTGGCGCTGGCAGGCCGCGGCCCTCGGCGCTCATGATGCCGAGGTTCGTCTGCGCGACGACGTCTCCCTCCATGGCAGCCCTGCGGCACCACTGTAGAGCGGTGGCCTCGCACCGCTGCACCCCGACACCCGTCGCGTAGCTCTCCGCGACCACCGCCGCCGCGCGCGCGTCCCCCTGCGCAGCCGCCTTGGAGAGCCAGCGCAGGGCCTCCTCGGGCGCCTGCTCCACGCCCTGCCCCTGCATGAGCAGCAGGCCCAGGCCCGCCTGGGAGCGCGCGTGGCCGTGCTCGGCGGCCAAGCGGAACCACCCAGCGGCGCGCCGCTGGTGCCTCGGCGCGCCGCTGCTGGCGTAGAGCCGCCCCAGCTGAGCCTGCGCGTCCCCCACGCTCCGAGAGGCCGCGCGGTGCAGCCAGCGCGCGGCCAGGAAGCGGCTGCGGGGCACTCCCCGCCCCATGGCGTGTGCGATGCCGAGGTTCGCCTGCCCAGCGGGCACCCCTCGCGACGCCGCTCTGCGATGCTGCTCCACCCGCTCCTCGTCGTCCCGGCTGCCGACCGCCCTCACCTGGTACTCCGCAGCGGCGGCCGCCTGCCCCATCGCGGTGTCCACGCAACGCGCGGCCCTCTCCTCGCTCGCGTCCGGCGCGGCACGGAGCTCCACAAGCGCCGAGGGGGCCGTGGTGAGGTCCCGCGTGGCCTCTGGCAGGGTCACCTCCCAGCCCAGGCTGCAGCACGCCTCCACCACGCTCGGCAAGATCTCCCAGTTCACGCCCAGCCACCCGATGCCGCCGGGAGCCAGCCTCGCCTCCCTACAGAAGCGCTGGTGGAAGTGGATGGCGTCGCCGCCAGGCGCGAGCAGCGAGACGTCCGGGCTGCCCCTCCAGGAGTCTGGGCGGCTCGCGTCCTCCAGGACCTGCGGCGGGTTGAAGAAGACGAACTCTGGCGGCGGCGCTCCCTCCAGGGGTTTCAGGAGGTCCCCCTGGACCAGGGTGATATCCAGACCGTTGCGCTCCACGTCCGCCCGGGCGAGCTCCAGGGCCTCCACGGCGATGTCCGTGCACGCCACCCTGCAGGAGTCGCCGAGGGACGCCTTGAGCAGCACCGACAGCCAGCCCGAGCCGCCGCCCACGTCCACGAACAGCGGCGCGCCGCTGTCCGCCGCCGCCGCGCCACGGGAGAGCCGGATCACCCCCGCCAGGTACCGCGCCCAGGACAGGTAGCCGGCGAACCTGATCCAGTTGAAAGCCAGCGATGTGTCCAGGCGGAGCGTCACTTCCTGCTGCCCGCCGTCTGGGTCCTCAAGGTCGCCAAGCGACAGGCCGTCGCACAGGAAGAGGCGTTCGTTGACCCCAGCATCCCTGCGGACGCGCAGCCGCCGCAACCTGGGAACGCCTCCCGTGGCCTCCTGCCAGGGCCCCACGGCCTCCTCCACCGCGATGTCGACAAAGTCAGGCCCACGCCCGAGCAGCGTGCCCCGCAGCGCCAGACCAGAGGCTGGCGGGGACCCTGCGACTCCGGTGACGAAGTCGTCGAGCGAGTGCCTGTCGCCGGTCCCAATCACGGCCTCCAGCTCCGCGCACTGCATTGCCGCGGAGCACTGAAACGCGTGGTGCAGCGCCACGAAGACCTCCGCGGCCTCGTCGGGATCCCTGGCCGCAGCGGGCGATGCGTGCGCTACCGCGGCAAGGTCGGCAGCGCCTCCCAGAGCAGCCGCCAGCGCAGCCCCTGCGGCCGCGCCGAACGCCCCGCGCAGGCCTGCCCTGTCGGTTACACGCAAGAGTGACCATGGGTAAGAGTGACCTTTGGTGCGCGGCTGTTGGGGGGCCGCAGGGGGACCAAACACAAGCGCGCAGGACGCTACTATCGCATCGCTTTCGGCCATCGGGGGACCCCATGGGCCCGCACCAAAGGTCACTCCGGTGAAAGGTCACTCTTACGTTCGGTCGAGCCTGTGCCGCCACTGCCGGCGTCGCTCTTCAGCTCGCCTGCCAGCCGCCGCGGCGCGCGGGTGTCTGGCCGAGACGGCCGCGGGCCGGGCGCCAGCAGCGCGGTCGGCACTTGCCGGCGCCCCACCTCGGACGGGCGCCATCTGCCGGCCGCTCTGGCGGGAGCGGCTCGGCGGCCGCGGCTCGGCGGAGCCCTGGGCGCACCGCGACGTGAGCCCAAATGGCTACGGCGATATTGCATCGCATTGCTTAAACCGCCCAGCTTACACCACGTACCTGGCACCACACAGCTTAGAACACGTATATTGCACTACATGAACTCCGCACCATAGATCGCACCACACATCTTAGACCACACGGAGTTAACCGTGTACATCTCTTTATATGCACGGTACACAGCATCGCTCGCACTACACATGCTGCACCATACGTATTGCACAACGTAGCTCACACAGCAACAGTGCAACAGCTCAATGTTGGGGGGGGGTCAACGCTGGCAAACACACGCATATACACGCACACACACACACACACTCGCACACACACACACACACACACACACACACACTCGCTCGCTCGCACGCACGCACGCACGCACGCACGCACGCACGCACGCACGCACGCACGCACGCACGCACGCACGCACGCACACACACACACACACACACACACACACACACACACACACACTCACACGCACACACACACAAGGATGAGGCACTGGTTTTCTATCGAGCGCTGGACCCCTTCCCTGGCACTTACCAAAGGCGGTGCTCGGGGCGCCGCCAAGGGGGGTACTGCGCGGAGCCCATGAAACTTGCACAAAACTGCGAAAGTGCGTGTTCGTGAAGATGTCTGCCCCTCTGCGGACAGCAATAGCAGTAGCAGGTTCATTTGATGCTTCGTCTCGGGAGCATCGGTTACCAAGCAGATCGCCAACGCAACTTATCAAGCACACTCCTTCGTGAACATCAACGGTCGGAGGACTTCTTTCAGACTTCCATCTTGGATCCCGGGGGCGAGACCCAAACTGCAATGCAGGACAAAAAACTGCAACGCAGATCTTCGCAAACCCGGGTCAGCCAATATGCGCGGCCGCCTCGCGGCCATGAGCGGCTCGCTAACCCGGGTCAGCCAGAGGGGGTATTCGCAGGATCCTGCAGGATCTGGCGCTTTGGCTGACCCCCGTCTGCATTGACCCCCGTCTCCTAGGCCCCGATGTCAGACTTCCATCTTGGATCCCGGGGGCGAGACCAAATTCCAGCCTCGAACGCCGACGACGGCGTCGTCGTCCTCGGCGGCGGCAGCCGCGGCGAGGCAAACGCCCGCGACCCATATGGGCTCTGCGGCCGCCGGCGTCGCCTCGTCGGGCCCCCCGGCGAAGTCCACCCGGTTGGAGCCGTCGAGGATGTTCACCTGGTCGCTCAACCGCGCGGGGAGGGGCGGAGCGGGCGGCGCCGCAGACCGCGCGGACCCGTGGGTCGGGAGACGCGGCCTGCGACAGCGGCTGTTTTTTCAGAGACTCAGCGCGTGGGCCATGCAAAACGCGCGCTGTTCCCCTGCATTTTTCGGTTTCGCGCGTGTTGTTGTTGCTCGATGGTCCAGGATCGTTCTCAATGGTTCTCGCCGAAAAAAAATGCACACGTCCGAGCGATGCGAGGGCACGGCCCTCTGTGGAGGCACCTGTCTCGAGCCAGTGGCAACGGCCGCCGCAGCCGCCGCAGCTCACGCCGCCGCCGCCGCCGACCGAGTCGTCGTCGGTGTCGTCCGGCACTCGAGGCTCGGCGGGGGCCTCCCCGTCGCCCGCGGCCAGGCCCGCCTCGAGTTCCAGGCCAGAGCGCGCCCCAAGACAAGTCTAGTCGGGCAAGGCCCACCACCCCGAAGCCGTGCCCGCTCAGCTGCCGCGGAAACCGCGAGGCAGAGGCCGTGCGCGCCCATTCGTTCGGGTTCGGGGATCGAGCAGCATCGACGCTCGGGGAGGCTCGCGACTCTTTGTTGCACCGTCCGTTGCCCGCTTCTCGGGCGCGGGGGCCTCTTCGGGCGCGGGGGCCTCCTCGCCGCCGTGGCTGGGCCCGCGAGCAGATCCGAACGCACTGGCGGCAACCTGCCTGCAGCTCAGTTCGGCGACCAGCGCAGGGAGGACGCACAGACTGATAGAGTTCAGGAAGCAGGCTACGCCTATGCCATCGGTTTTGAGCAGCACTGCGAGGTTACCTCCAGCAAGAATCTGCGTGTAACTCAGGTCGGCCCACCAAGGCAAAGAAACCGCACTGATCCTTCTCGTTCCGGCCGCAGGCGGCGACGCCGCCGTGCTACTGAGCAGCACTAGGTTGTCCCCTCTGGCCGAATCTTGAGTGACAACTCGCGCTACCCTCGCACCCCTGAGCCGCGGTCCCCCGCGTCGAATCCACGTCGTCGAATCCGTGTCGAGTCCACGCCACATCCGTGTCGAGTCCGCCTCGAGCCCGCGTCGGGCGCAAACGAAGACACCAATTGGGGGGTCAGACGAGCTCCCCCGAAGATGCAACGTCACAGGGGCTGCGGAGGCCTCCATAGGCCTGCGTGAACCTTCTCTGGTCCGACTGGTCGTCGTCGTCGCCATTCCTGGGAAATTGAAGAACCAAGAACAGAACGGAAACCCCTTCGGCAGCCTCGCCGGGATCTCTGGACCTCCAGGGAGGACCTCCGCAGACCCTCTGGGGGCCCGCCAGGGCCCGAGCCCGTCGCATGCGCAGACGAAGCCCTGGCCTCGCCAGGACTGGTGTCCGCCCGACAACGAGTAGAGTCCGAAGGGAAGGTGGGCAACGCAGGGGCGACACCGGAGATCCTGAACCCCAACCTCTGTGCCCCCTCCTGGGGTCAGATGGAATTCAATATCGAAAGGGAACGAGCTGGACCAATCCGACGCCCCCGGCCACCACGCTCGCCCTGGAGCAAACACCTGAGGAAGAGATGACTCCTCCTTCGATCCTCGAAGGCAAGGCCTTTTTTGAAGCGCCCCATGTAAAGAAGAAGAAGAAGAAGAAGAAGAAGAGAACGAACAATCGATTGCAAATACATGACCGCTTGCCGATCCGCGCGGACTTCTGTGATCCACGATGCTCCCGCTGGAGGCCCTGCCAGAGTGGCGCCAGTGCCGGTCCAAGATCCGCGCGGAGTCCAGACCATTTCTATTATAGACTTGTGCTCGTCGATTGTCCGCACTTGTCACTCTCTTTGCTTTTGCGTGCCAATTGTTTTTGCATGCTCAAGTGAGCCCCCCCCCCCCCGCTCGTAGCTCTATACACAGAACTCTTTCGCCGAGTTCAGTGAATCTTTGGCCGATCAAGCGGCGTGGCGTATACATCGAGCCGAGCCCCTCCGACATGCCGCAACCCAAGGCCGTGATGCCGAAGGAGACGACGACGGACGACGTCGACGACAACATTTTTTCAAAATTGCCCCAGAACCTGTGTTTGATCCTGGGTTGTGGTTTCCGGGGCTCAACGAGGGACCCCGGACGCAGACCATTTCCCGAACGTTCCGACGTTTCTTCTCCGCGACGCAATAGGGGGGAGACGAGAACGACGGTGGCGGAAACATGGGGTGTTGGCCTGCGCCCCGGTGCTTTGCTGCATGAAACCCAGATCCCTCTGGAAGTCGTCCCACATCTTGTGGGACATCTTGGAGAACAGGCCTGGCGAGTTGGAGGGAGACGGAGGGCAACCACGATGAAGAAGAAAACAAACAAACAAAAAAGAAGAATAGGTTCGAAGAGAGCGTTGCTGATCTCCGGCCTCTGTCAATGGGCGTTCGGCGCCGTTGAAAACCAGTCCGATATGGAAAACTGGCAAGGATGGCCAGTTGGAGGGGGTGAGGAGAGCAGGGGGGAAGTATCCTTCTTGCAGATCCTGTGGAGATCGTTCCGCATCCAATGGGACATCGCTGACACTCGGCCTGGAGCCTTGAGGGGGGAGGGACCTGAACCCTCAGGGTCTGGACGAAAACTTAGATTTCCTGCGTTTGCTGTGATTGGATGTCGTTGTCCGTCTCCAAGGACCGTCGGAAAACGTCTCGGGCTGGGAGGCCGCTCGGGGGCAAAAGGGCCTGGGAGGAAGGAACGGCGCCAACTACACTTAGGTCGGGCATGTCCCCCTACAGAGGGATTTTGGAAGAAAAATCAAAAGCATTGCTAATAATATTAGAAAATTGTCGAAAGATAATCAAAGCATCATCCCAAGACTGTATATTTACTATCTTTGAACATTCCCCCTGTAGAGGGACTGAGGGGCAACGATAGGGGGGGGGATAGGCAAAGGGGGGGAACATCTACCTGGAATCGGCGATACATCGCCGATAGAGATCGGAAGAGCGAATCCGCACCTTCCTGGGCATGCTGGGGCTATCGGGCCTCTATCGGCGATCAGCGGGCGATGGGGGCTCGATGCCCCCCCTAAGCCCATCCCCCCCTACCGTTGCCCGACTTAAAACCACTTAAAACTTGAAACCACTTATAACTACACTTAAAACCACTTAAAACCACTGAGGGGCATGCCCGACTCAAAACCACTTGAAACTACACGCCGTCACCGATCCTGGCCGCGCGGGTCCTGGGCCGAGCCAGGATCGGTGCGCGCGCCTGGCCTGGCCGGGCCGCGAGGACGTGCACTCGTCGTCGGCCCAGAGAACGCCAGGCAATGATCAATGGTGTTTGGCGCGCCCCGGTGGAGGGAAAGAGGAGGAGGAGGAGGATGAGGAGGAGGAGGAGGAGGAGGAGGAGGGGGGGGGAGGAGGAGGAGGAGGAGGAGGAGGAGGAGGAGGAGGACGAGGAGGAGGACGAGGGGGGAGAGGAGGACGGGGAGGAGGAGGAGAAAGAGGACGAGGAGGAAGAGGAGGAGGAAGAGGAGGAAGAAGGGCCCTGATCTTCTGGGGGCGGCGAATGCCCAGGATCTACCTGGTCTGGAGGGCAGCTTCTTTAGCACTTCAGCGGGTCACGGGGTGGCGGAAGAGGAGGCCCGAAGAGGGGGGGGGAGAAACGAAACGTCCTCCTCCTGCTCCCCCCCACCGAAGGTTTCCGCAAGTTCTTCGCTGATTTTCTCAAATCAATCGGGTCCGCGGGGTTCTGGGCGCTGCCCCGAATCTCGCGAATCATCTCATAGCACGG